AGTTACCTGCAGTGGACAGTCTTGCTGAAGCCCTTTGTGGGCTGTGTGTGCAGTCTTGTTGGTATCACTGGGAAGCCTTGCTTATTGTTGGTATCACTGGGAAGCGTTGATCTCCAAGCCAATTGACTGTGAGGATCAGCAGTGTTTCAGCTAGGAGGGCTTCTATACTCCTCTTGGATAGGGTCTTGGGGTGGCGCAGACAATATTTGGTTCCCTGTCAGTCTCGCCTTAGAAAAGTCCTGTTCATGGAGAGTTTCAGAAGATTGGTTGCAGGTGCGCGCACCTCTTTGGTAAAGGTGCAGACAAGCTTTGGATTCCTGCCAGTCCCTCCTTAGAGAAAGCCAGCCTCTGGGAGAGCTTCTGTGCTCAGCCACAGATGGGGCGGAGTCTCGGGTTGGTGCAGACAAACTTTGTTTTCCCTTCGGCTCCTCCCCAAGTCCCGCAATAATGGCCTCTGGCTTCACACACCTCCAAGAGATCTCTGCCCGCTGCCTGACAGTCTGGTTTCTCCCTGTCTGGGGCCGTCTATCAGAGCAATAGCGTGATTCTGTTTTCCTCTTGAACAAGAAAGCCAGCTGCGTGCGTTAGCTGTTCGCCCTCTCCACACGCCAGGAGTAAGCCAGCAGAAATCTTGGTCAGGCCTTTCCTCTCCACACTGGGAGTAAGCCAGTGCCTTTTCACGCACACAGTTCTCCGTACCTTCAGAGTTCCTGAGGTTCAGCGTGCCTTCTCTCTCCTTCCCAGATAGCAGAGCCTCCTCTCAGCTAGCCGTCCGGCACTGCAGGGCAATGCCTCCCCTGTTTTTCAGTTCTAAATTCAAATTTGTTGTGGTAGGCTGCATTCCAGTGTGTACCTTATGCCGCCATCTTGGTTTCTCCCCCAGAAGATCTTTCATAGGACAGTGAGGGAGTGGTTAATCTTTAACAACTATCTTTTTTAAAAAAATCAGAACTGATGATAGTATTTACCAATTTCTGGGGTGTGAGTGTTCTCACTGTGACCAGTTTCAGGCTACCAATGTGACATCAATGAAGGCAGAATGGAAAGAGATGCTAATAACTAGCTTTCAAAAGCCACTAAAAGCCAGCCCAGCATGCTACTCTAGTTTTTGCTACTTCGATTCAATATTATTTATAAACTAGTGTCCCGGTGCATGAAACTTGTGCACATTAAACGGGAATTAATTAGAGGAAATATGTGAATATTGCTATTTGCCCTTCCTCTATAATTGACCCAACAATTCCATGCTTAGAATAAAACTTTTACATGACTGTTTATAGCCACATTATTCACAATGGCCAAAAAGTAGAAACAACCTAAATGTCTATCAGCTAATAAATAGATCTGATGCATCCATACAATAGAATATTATTCAGTCATAAAAAAGACTAAAGTATTGATAAATGTACAGCATCAGTGAAACTTGAAAAAAATTATGCTTTGTGAAAGAAGCCAGTCATGAAAGATCACAGGTTGTACAATTCCATTCATATGTACTAGAGACCCAGTGCACTAATTCATGCATGAGTGGGGTCCCTCAGCCTAGCCTGTGTCCTCTCACAATCTGAAGCAGCAGGCAGCCAGAAAGGAGCCTAGACCAGGCGCAGCACCACTGCCACTCTCGCTCATCCAGGCCCCACTGCTCCTGCCACCGCCTCTTGGTAGTGTGCTACCACAGAGGCAGGAGAAGTTTGCACCACAGCTGCACTCACCAGCCGTGAGCCTGGTATCAGGTGCCCCTCAGTCAACTGAGTGGCACTCCTGCTGTGGGAGCGCACTGACCACCAGAGGGCAGCTCCTACATTGAGCATCTGCTCCTGGTGGTCAGTGTGTGTCCTAGCGGCTCATCAAATGGTCATTCAGTCATTCAGTTGCTTAGGCTTTTATATATATAGACATCTCTGATAGGCAATGTTATAGACAGAAAATAGAGTCAACAGTGCCTTGGGGTGGAAAGTAAGTAAGAAACAAAGAACAGGGTTTCCTTTGCGGGTGATGCAAACAATACCACATTAATTGTGGTGATGATTGCACAACTATGTGAATATCCTAAAAACCACCAAGTTGAACAAATATGTGAATTATATCTCAATAAAGCTATTGCAGAAAGGTATACAGACAACATTTTATATTTCAAATTAAAATTAAATCTAAAGCATAGCACCATGATTTGAAAGCCATTATTGTGTAGGGATATATCACCCAGGAGATGAATAAACAGTAAGAACAAAGCAATCTCACTCTGTCAGCCCACAATTGATAAGATCATTCTTAGAGTTCTGTGTCTAGTTTTCATCTCTATCCTTTAATAAGGATGTGGAAAATTTGGAGACAGTTCTGACAAGTACCTTATAGTGATGCAAATTATTAGAGACCAAAGCTTGTGAAAAAAACATGAGGATGGTAGTGTAATTTAATCCAGTAACAGGAGGAAAAACAGAGCCTGGCACTTGGGAGATGTCAGGGAATCAAGGGTTGCCTGCTAGTGTGAGAAATCTAGTAAATGTCACGAGAGGAAATGAACGAGCTCTGCACTGTCTCTATAAAGGCTGTAATTAAATAGAGTTGGAATAAATTGAAACCAGACAACTTTATATTTCACAATGTTCTGATAATGAGAGAGTAATTATTTATAAGAATTTAAAAAATCTGGAGACATTCAGCCTTAGGAAGTATTGATACTTCTAAGAGATTAAAGAACATGAAAAATATGTTGTATATGGAAATATACATTTTGTATATGAAAATATGTTACAAAATAATATATATTAAATAATTTCAATTAGAGAAACGTCCTAGCAAAAAAGACAAGAAAGAAATATACCAACTTGAGTAGCTCCTGTTGTTAGCATGCTGATCAGTGCATGTTATCTTTTTTTTTGTAGTTTTTCCACATTTCCCATAATTTAATGTACATATTTAATCAACAAAGAAAAATTTAAAATGCATAATGTCTGTCTTGGTTTAGATGTATGGTCCTCTCCAGGTACTTTTTAAAAATATATATATATTTTATTGATTTTTTACAGAGAGGAAGGGAGAGAGATAGAGAGCTAGAAACATCGATGAGAGAGAAACATCGACCAGCTGCCTCCTGCAAACCCCCATCAAGGATGTGCCTGAAACCAAGGTACATGCCCTTGACCAGAATTGAATCCGGGACCTTTTAGTCCGCAGGCTGATGCTCTATCCAATGAGCAAAACCGGTTTCGGCTACTTTCACATTTTAACCACATTTTTCCACAGGCAGGAAATGTCTACCTCAGAAGCAATCACATGGTGTTGACGTCTCTACTTCATTCAACTATGTTTTTTTTCCTGGTTTACTAGGTTTAAGTAATAATACTACTATAACTTGCTTTGGATTTATTACATTTTACCAAATATATCTAGCACACTGTATTTGCTCAAATGATGTACAATTTTGAAGACAGTTCTTCACCTCTTATTTTATTAGATGGTTATACTGCAGGTATTTTAAATAGCAAACTTTCATAAAGAATACCTTAGGCCACTCATATTACTTTGGTATAAAGATGATAAGGCCTGAGGAGGGGTTTGGAGGGATTCAATGGGGGCAGGGAAGAAGACATCTGTAATACTTTCAAAAATAAAGAGAAATTTTAAAAATTAAAGAATAATAAAATTGCCGAAACCCATTTGGCTCAATGGTAGAGCGTCAGTCTGCGGACTGAAAGGTCCCAGATTCGATTCTGGTCAGGGGCATGTACATTGGTTGCAGGCACATCCCCAGTAGGGGGTGTGCAAGAGGCAGCTGGTCGATGTTTCTCTCTCATTGACGTTTCTAGCTCTCTATCAACCTCCCTTCCTCTCTGTAAAAAAATCAATAAAATAAAAAAAGATACATTAAAAAAAAAGAATAATAAAATGCAAAAAAAAAAAGAAAAAAGAATACATAAAGAGAAAAAGTGGACTGACTCTCTCTAGGATGCTGTGGTTTAATTATACTTTATAACGCCTCTGGTTCATCTTTCCTTATAGTTCTCAGTTTTAACTCGTATGTATTTACTGAGCCATTACTATGAACAGTTTTCTCCTTGGAGCTGCAAAATCATTATATTCCTACATAGCTGATAAATTAGAGAATTATTGCCGATTATTCTAAGTTAACAATTCAGAGTTCTTTTATCTGTAGATTCCCAGGCAAGCAAGCTTGCTGGGAAGTAAATATACAAGTAGAAGGTCTGTTCTGTATTAGGGCCTGTGAACCCCCTTTATTTCAAAAATAATAACAGAAAAGAAGAGACATACAAAATGAAAAAATAGAAGTGGGCTCTGGCTTCTCCAATTTTCCCCCTTTGTTCTATGGCAACTTTCATCAAAAGTCTTACTTGGTTTTTCTATATGGATTTTAAATTTGATGTCATATTAATGACTAGGTAATAATATTTACATAATATCCCTTTCTTTCTCTAAGGCTGTGGTCTCTAAGAAACTCAGATATCTGGGCTTCACCTCAGCCCATATTTCTGAGATAGGACTCTTACATGTGTTTGTTTTTAAAAGCTTCCTGCAATAAAAGCATCCAGGTTCAGATGATCATATTAAAGGATTCGCTTGAGTGCCTTCTCCATAGACAGCTGTCTTCACTCCTTGATGACAGTTTCTGGGAAGCTTTTAAAAAGTGCAAAAGCCTTGACTCCATTCAAGGCCATTTATATTACTAGATTGGAGGTGCAGGGAGTGACTGGGGTTTTTAGTGTTTGTGGTTTTCCTCTTCCCAGTGCATTACTGGTGATTTCTAAGGTAAAGTGAGATTTGCCAACTACTGCACTCATTTATGAGTGACATGTGATGGGGGACTTTGTGCTTTTATGTCTTCATTTTCACCCTCCACCTTGTGCTTTGGATCAGTTTTGCTATGAAGGCTTGTCAAAATGAATGATGGACTAGCTGTCCCCTATTGCATTTGCCCAGGGACAGAGACACCGAGTCTGGTTCCAGATTTAGTCATGTGGGTCTTCATTTTCTTAGCACAGGTGCAGCAGTGAACAGCAGTGAGAGTCTCCCTCCATCCTCGTCCGTCAACGACATCTCCTCCATGTCCACCGACCAGACCCTGGCGTCCGACACTGACAGCAGCCTGGAAGCCTCGGCGGGACCCCTGGGTTGTTGCAGGTGACTAGCCGCCTGCCTGCGAAACCCAGCGTTCTTCAGCAGATGACGGGATGGAACACACACACCCGCACACACAGACCCGCACACACACAAACGCAGACACGCAATGGCGAGAACACAGCAAGGGAGGGAACCCAAGCCCAAATTGAAACAAACCTTTCAGCCTGCTTCTTCTTCAGAGCGCTCTATTGCAGCTAAGCCAGATGCGTATTTAACTCCTAGTTGCTCTTGCTTCGATCTTCTTCCAATGATGCTTACTACCGAAAGCAAATCAAACACAATTAGGGAAGCCTTTATTTCCATAAAGTGTAATTTCAATGGCTGCGAAACCAGCGACCTGTAACTGCCCTCTCAAATGGCATGACAAGGTGTGCAGTGGCCCCATCCAGCATGTGTGTGTCTCTATCTTGCATCTACCTGCTCCTTTCGGCCTAGTCAGATGGATGTAGATACAGATCCGCATGTGTCTGTATTCAGACAGCACTGCTTACTTAGAGATGCTACTGTCAGTGTCCTCAGGGCTCTACGGAGACATCACGCACTGGGGTACCACATGGTCCATTTCATGTGATCTATTACTCTGACATAAAACCCATCTGTAATATATTGCCAGTATATAAGCTGTTTAGTTTGTTAATTGATTAAGCTGTATGTCTTATAAGAAAACATGTAAAGGGGGGAGACGTGGGGGGGGGGGAGCGAGCTCTCTTGAACCCTTGAAGATGTAGCTTCCAAATTTGAACTGATTAAATGGCACCTGTATACCAATTTGTAGAAAGAACATATGTGATGCGTATGTACATTGTGGGGGTAGAAGGGGGGAGGGTAACAGGCACTGAATGGTTTGGCTTTTAAAGGAAGGTGGGAATGCAAGCCGAGAGTCTTTTTCCTGACAATGTGTGGGTAGATTGACTAGAGTTGTGTCGAGTATGGAGGAAGACCTACAGGGGATTGTTGCTCCGTGATTAGGAGACACCGACATCCATGTTCTAGAGCAGTGTTTCCCAAACTTTTGACATATGTGTACCCCTTCTATAACTTTCGTAATGCTGAGTACCCCTCGTACTCATGAAAACGTAGAATTAGGCGCAGCTAAGCACAGTGCAGTGCATATTCCCACCAAACTTTGGTGCAATGTGTACCCCCACCAAACTCTTCCCATACCCCTGGGAGTACGTGTACCACACTTTGGAAAACACTGTTCTAGAGAGAAGAGCCCATTTCTCATTTACAAGTTATGTGTCACAACTGGACAGAGAGTGGCAGGTGGGGAGGCGGGGGGATTGTGCACGTGTCTGATCCTAAGAATTGCTCTCCCGGCGACGTCTTTCAGAACAGGAGCCTACATAGACCATCCTCACACTGTGGGTTGTGTTTTCCATGGGTGTGCTACTTCCCAGGCTTATCCTCTGCCAAGGTTTTCCTTTGAGAAGAAATATTACTTTCCCCTCCTGGAATAAAATAAAAGAAAAGAAAAGAATTACTTTAAAAACACACAAAAGCACAGGGCGATCTTCAGGTTAGCATTTGAAAACATTTCCACTGACATTGTTTCTCACTTCTTAATATGGCTGATGTTTCCTATTTGTTTATTTTCATCCATTTGAGCCATCCGAGAAGGGTTAATGATTTGAGTGTAGTACCGCAGTTGATGCCACAGCAATAACTCCGCCCAATAACTCCTTTCCTGCTGCTAAACAGCTTTGGCAAAAGGAGTTTGTCCTAAGAGCCATGAAGCATTGTCGTCCGTGGTTAGCAAAATCACAAGTTGCACATCTGTTCGGTGAAAGTGCTTCCTGAGCTCCTGAGGAGGCAGCTCCTGGGTTAGGTACACGGCAGTGCCAGGGTCACTTCTCAGCAATACTAGGGACCAGTCTAGGCTTCCCTTCTTACTCTGCTGAGCTCACCGTCACAGCTCTGTGCACTCTGACCATTTTGGTGCTGACCCATATGGTGACATTTCACCTGAAGAAGAAGTGAAAATGCATGAAACAGATGGGTGATGAGTGTAATATGGCTGGCGAGTGGAATCTCTTCCAAATGAGAGCAAACAAGAAGGCCAGTGCTCCGAACACCGCCTTAAACACACTAGGGGAGCTTTGTCTCTCTTCCAGCAATAGAATCACCCCCCTCCGCACTGTGCAGCGGCGGGCCGTTTATGGGATTGCTGCACACAGGAGGATTCATGACAAGAGGTCATTTGTTTAAAATGAGGAGAAAAAATGTTAAAGACCATGCAGCTTGTCCCCTAGAATAAAAGCACCCTGTTTCTCTGTCTTGCTACCATCGTTTTTGGTTAATATTGCAGACAACCTGGTTTTCAAAATGTCTCTCATTTTTCTTTTTGTTACACTCTCCCATCCCCAACCCCTTAAAAAAATTTCTTCTTTGTATCCATAAGTCTTTAAAAAATATATATATGTGTATATATATATATATATATATATATATATATATATATATATATTATTGATTTTTTTACAGAGAGGAAGGGAGAGAGATAGAGAGCTAGAAACATCGATGAGAGAGATACATCGATCAGCTGTCTCCTGCACACCCCCTACCAGAGATATGCCCTCAACCAATGTACATGCCCTTGATGGAATCAAATCTGGGACCTTTCAGTCTGCAGACCGATGCTCCACCCACTGAGCCAAACCGGTTTCAGCTGTATCCATAAGTTTTTACTTGTCTTCCGGTTTCAGCTGTATCCATAAGTCTTTACTTCTCTTCTCTTGCTTCACCTGTGGCCTCTCTCCTCCTGGCTTTCTAGCACTTGCGATTAAGTGCATAGAGTAAGCAACTCTTTAAAAGAAAGTCACAAGGGGAATTTATTCAGCCACAAAATTACATCAAAAGATAAAAAGAGGTCTCCAGCCAGCATCTTAGCAGTGCTGGCAGGTAGACTGTTTCTGATAGGCACAGAAGTGATTATTATTATTATTATTATTATTATTTACTTAGATTAAGCCAGGCAAGAACTAGGTAATGCCCCTCCCCTGCTATTACTACCTTTCTTAAACTCAGCTAGTCTGATCTCCCTGTTGTCTGGCTCTTAGGAGTTGATTGCCTTTAGCCAGATCTCCCTTACGGACAAGCTCAGATAGAACAAATCCCCCAGTTGAAGTTTCATGTGCAAATAAAACTAAGAGTTTGGCTTTTTCACTGCTGATAGGATTAATTTCACTAGGTTATCAAAGTAAGATAGGTGATGTGACAACAAAGAATTATTCCAAAAAAAGCCCACCAGCCCTTCACAATGTTGGGTCTACTTTATTATAATATTACTAGAGGCCCGTGCACAAAATTCATGCACTCGTGGGGGTCCCTCAGCCTGGCTGTGCCCTTTTACAGTCTGGGAATCCTAGGGAGCGGGCCTAAGCCAGCAGTCGGACATCCTTAGCGCTGTCACGAAGGTGGGAGAGGCTCCCACGACCACTGCTGCACTTGCCAGCCACAGGCCTGGCTTCTGGCTGAGCAGCGGTCCCCCTGTGGGAGTGCACTGACCACTAGGGGGCAGCTTCTGCATTAAGTGTCTGCCCCCAGGTGGTCAGCTCGTGTCATAGTGACTGGTCATTTTGCCATTTGATCTATTTGCTTATTAGCCTTTTATTAGGTAGGATGTTTGGCACTGAGCCTTTTTTCCCTAAAAAAAAAAAAAAAAAAAAAAAAAATTCTATATAATCACATTTAACTTCCAAAGCACTCTTGCTTTTTAGTTATGAAAGTGTCAATTTACCTGCATTATGTTCCTGAAAGAAGGGCAAGTCCTACCTAAGATGGGGGTTCATTTAAGAGTGTGTGGCTGGCACTCAGAGACTTAACCTGTCACTTCCCATAGGCACTGGTTCTGCAGCACACATGCATTCATACACACACCACCCTCCAGTTCTAGGTCAACCCTGGGAGGCAAAACCATGCCGGTTTCTTTGCAGGGCCTTAGTGAAATGCTTTGCTGTATTTTGTAGGAAACATGGCTGTGGGCCCACAGGCAGGAGGAGTTAAATTGTTGGGGAGAATTTGGCAAAATCCACCACCATGTTGATGTGATTCTATACATTTTGTGAGTCAGCCTGTTCATTTTTTTTTTTTTTAACAAGATACATTGGCCTTACAACCAAATCTCTTCTTGTAGACTAACAACTGATGGTGACCTTGTATCTTTAAGAATCTGATGACTGAGCTTTGTGAGAATGTACACCCCAGGTGGACCAGGGCCTGGCCAAGTCCTTCCACCTGGAGAACTACTTAATTGATGGCCAAGGGACAGGGTTTTTGTTTTTTTTTTTCTTTTCTTCTCAATTTGTTATCATTATCAGAAAAACATTACCTAAGGATACTGGTAACAGAAGGTAGACCTTGACAAATGGAATACATGGAATAGATAAAAATACATAAATCTTTCTATGACCTGGTTGAGGGGAGTGGGTGGGAGGAAGCAAAACTCACTTTTAAATTTTAATTATTCATTGCAAAATCTAAACTATACAAAAACCTATTTCTTTTTAATTCTTTCTTAAAAAAAAAAAATTCTCACCCGAGAATATTTTTCCATTGATTTTAGAGAGAGGGAAAGAGAGAGAAATATCAATGTGAGAGAAACATAACGATTAGTTGCCTCCTGTACTGACCAGCGCCCGGGCCAGGAAGGACCCTGCAACCGAGGTATATGTCCTTGACCAGAATCAAACGTGGGACCCGTCAGTCCACAAAATGATTCTCTATCCATTGAGGCAAACTGGATTTTAGGACTCTTTTTAATTCTTTTAGCATATGACAATTTAAATCTTAAAAGCAATGCAGTTTGCTAAGAATGTTGTCTGCCAGCTTTGCTGAACAATGTATCTTTAACAGCTCAGAGAAATAAATAAAATTTGCTCCAAGAATCTTTGGTCCCAACCACTTGGGGTCTAAAGATAAACTCCATCCCTTTCTTACAATCTTCCCCTGCTCTTACCCCCACACACATTTTAATTGTGAGAATCCAACATTTAATACAG